CGCCAGAATGCCCACTCCACAGTTCACCGCAGCCGACGAGGCGACGACGCGCTCGCGTTCGCCGAGGGAGGCTGGCTTCGTGAACTTATTCGGCGGAAATTCTGTTCCCCAGCTAGCCTGCCATCCCAGCGCGCGGAGACGGCGGTCGCAGTCAGGCATCCGGATGTTTGCGCACCTGGCACCCTGGAGCCCCACCACCTGGACGCCGCGCCCCACCGCGTCCTCGACGAGACCCCAGCGCGCGCTGAGAGCCGCGACGCTGAGCGAGAGAAACTTGCGGCAGCGCCCCCGAGGCCCGCCCCCATGGGCCGCGCTGGCGCGCGCCTTAGTGGAGGCCCAGCCGCAGCGCGCGCACGAGGCCAGGGGCGAGGCGCAAAATCCGCAGCAGCAGCCTACTCCTGCCAGGCGCGCGGGGGACGTAGGTGGCTGAAAACGCGGCCCGTCTGCCGCCGCCCCCCCCCCACCACCACCACCACACACGCACGCACCACGCACCACACACACACACACACGCACACGCACACACACACACACACACACACACACACACACACACACACACACACACACACACACACACACACAACACACACACACACACACGCACACACACACACACACACACACACACACACACACACACACACACACACGCACACACACACACACACACACACACACACACACACACACACACACACACACACACACACACACACACACACACGCACGCACGCACACACGCACGCACGCACGCACGCACGTACGCACGTACGCACGCACGCGCACACACACACACACACACACACACACACACACGCACACACACACACACACACACACTCACACACACACACACACATAGGCAAAGACGCCTGGCGCGGCGAAATCGTCGGACAGCGGCCCCGCTCGCCGTCGCACTTCGCTTTCCGCGCGCGGTTGTTAGCGCCATTCTCTCCCGCGCGCCCCCCGCTGCCACCCCGCTCGCCACGTGGCCGAGGCGGCGTGCCAAGCTCCGTTGAAGTAGATGTCGTAGTCTTGCCAGAGCCGCCCCACGCGCTCTGGCGCGTTGCAACTGCAGTATCACTGGCGCCCTCTGTCTGTCGACTGCACTTCCCACCAGAAGGTAGGACAATCCTTCCTTGGGCACTCCTAGCGCGGGGCGTGCTCTCCTGCGCGCTGGAGCCCCCTCTGGCGCGCCTTCTCCAGAGCGACCCCCGAGTTTTTTTTTTTTTCCCATGGTGGCATCGACGCCCAGCTGGAGGCCATCGAGTGCGTCGAGCCTGTTGGGGGCGCGGGTGATCGTCGAGTCCTGCGTCGTGGCCGCCGCGTTCAGGGCCTCGGAATCGGCGTTGGTCTCCGTCTGGTTCGCCGCGACGGTCGCGTCCTGGGGCTGCATCTGCTGTCGCGACGCCGCGAGGTCGCGCTCGAGGTCATCGATCCGCTAGCTGGCAGCCGAAGGCAGCGCCACGGTGGCGGGGGCGGCCGGCTGGGCAGGCGCTGCCTCCTCTTCGCCGTTAATCTGCATGACCTCCTCCTGCGAGGCCAGCGCGCCGCTGCGAGCGCCGCCAGTCGGCGCCGCCCCTGCCGCCGGCGGCGCGCCCGCGGCCATCGGGCGGGCGGGCCACGCCAGCCCCCCCACGGCGGCGGCCTCGGCGGTCGTCGCCGCAGACGCCTTAGGGCCCCCAGCTGGCGGCAGCTGCGCTGGCCGTGGCTTCGTCGTCTTGGCCTCCGCGAGCTCGTCTGCGAGCGCGATGGCGGGGGCTGCGTCGGTCTGCAGCAGCTCGGGTTTGTCCGCGGTAGTTGCGGCGACCCACGGCTGCTCTCAATCCCCCACCTCCCAGCAGGAGCTGTCGGGGGGGCGCAGCTGCCACGACTACGGCGCAGTAGCCCGCCCCCCTGCTGTCGAATCCGACGATGGCCACCACGCACCGCCAGCGCGGGCCGCCCGCCACCGCCGCGGCCCGGGGCGTGGACGCCACGTCGCGTGGCGCGTGGTCGACGCAGAACTTCCGGCGCGCAAGGTTGGCTGAATTCCCTATGACTTCGATCGCCAAGTCCGTCGCCCGGGGAGGTCCCAGCCACGCGCGTGCCGACCGATTTCGTCGCTGCGCACGACGCCCCGGCGGCCTTGGCACGCGAGGGCGACCTCGCAAGCTTCGCGCAGGGCGGCAGTGGAGGACGGGAGCCAGACCGAGAACGTCTCGCCCGCGCCCTTCTCCGCCCGCCGAGGGTTCCCGATGCAAAAGCTGGCGAAGGCGATGCCCTTGAAGCCAAGCAGCTTCAGGCAGGCGCGACCCTCGCCCTTCGCCGCCGCGAAAAAAAACGATAGCGCTCGCCCACCTCGCGTTGCCGCGACAGCCTCCTCCGATCCTGCGCGCACGATTCACGACGGGAGCTCCAGCAACATGGCGCCTGCCTTGAATGCATGGGCGATGTTTGCGAAATGCCCGCGCAACTGCTCGTGCAATGCGACGCTGGCCTCGGAAGTCCCGGCGCGTTTGAAGCGCGTGCACCTGTCCGCTCAAGGGGTGCCCTGGCCGCCGCGCTAGGTGAGGATCGGGGCGGTTCCTGAGAACTGTGCCTCGACAAGTTGGCTGATGTCGGGGCTCGCATGCACCGCGTCCATCTCCTAGATGGCGATGCGCAGCGTCGCGGCCAGCTGGTCGTCTGCCAGGGTTTGGACTGTTGCGATGTTGGCATGGCAAGCGGCATCCCTCTGCCCGAACTGGTAGATCGCGCCCTTGAGGAAGGTACTCTTGGGTTTGCCGCCACCCGCTCCTACCCTCAGGACGGGCCCCTGGAGAGCGGTGTGCGGGTATGTCTGGTCGGGCTCGCAAAGGCCGACGATCGCGATAGGAAGCTCGTGCCTCTTCTGCACCAGCACCGAGCACCAATTGCTAGCCATGCGCGGGTCGTGCAAACTCACCGTGCCCTCGGAGGTATCGTCGATCTTATTATTTGATTCCCTGCTGACTTCGGTGGACCACTCGCCGCCTGCCAACGCCACAGTCGGGTTGAACTCCGTGGTCGTGTCCTTCCATGTCATGCTTGCCTGTTGACCTTTCGCCACTGAGGTGCGGGCACCGTGCTCCGTCGTCCAGCTGACAGTGTGCTTGGCGAAGAGTTTGCGTAGTTCTCGTCCGAACATGTTGTCGGACGTGGAGAAAACCAAGCTTTGTAGTTCCGATCTACGCTTGGAGGCCAACTCACCGTATGCTGCCGGCGCACGGTTGGCGCCAATGCCGTTCAAAGATTCAACCAAAATTTGCTTGCGAGCCAGAAGTCCGCCAACCTTCGCGGTGTCGCGGCTGGCTTGCGCTGGGCCATGGCTGATTCTGGGGAACGAGGAAATGAAGTGCGGATCTCCGCAGCGGCCACGAGAGACTGCTCTCGGAGGGCGGTCCGCCGGTGGCCCGCCCGTGTTTCCTGGAAACACTCGGGCCAGCGCTGGAAAAGGAGGAGGCGGAGGAGGAGGAAAAGGACGAGGAGGAAAAGGGGGAGGAGGAGAAGGAGGAGGAGGAGGACGAGGAGGACGAGGACGAGGAAGAGGGGGAGGAGGAGGAGGAGGAGGACGAGGAGGAGGAGGAGAAGGAGGAGGGGGGGGAGGCGGAGGAGGAGGAGGAGGAGGAGGATGAGGAGGAGGAGGGGGAGGAGGAGGAGGAGGAGGAGGAGGAGGAGGTTGAGGAGGAGGGGGACGGGGAAGAGGAGGAGGAGGAGGGAAGCGGACGAAGACCAGGAGGGGAGGAGGAAAATCCCACCAGCCCTGTGGGCTTAGGTGGTATAACGCGTTTTTTCTTCTATCTTCCACTGAAACTCCTCCCCCTATCCCCTCCCCTGGGCCAGGAAGGGGGGGGGTACCGAGGCGTTAGAGCGTCCAAGATGGCCCAAGATTGCTCCAAAGAGGGTTTCGAAGTCGCAAGATGGCCTCCAACATGGCCCATGCTACTTCAAGATGGGTCAAGATAGCCTCGGACATACCCCCCAAGAGGCCCCAAGACAGCCCCAAGACGGATCCAAGTGCCCTTCGAGCCCTCCACGGCGCCCTCCAAAATGCCAAAACCGTTCAAAAGCCTGGGGAAAATCAATGTGTTTGGCATTATCGCCTTTTCGCTTCCGATGGGCTTTGGAAGCCTCAAGATGGCCCCCAGATGGCCCAAAAGAGGGGCCCAAGAAGGCCGAAGACGGCCCCAAGATCGCCCGAGAGGCGCCGAAGAGGCTCCAAGAGGGCCCCGAGATGCCGTTTGAGAGCCTCTGGGGGGGGGGATTTCTCACCCCCTCTTTTTGAGCCATGGTGCCCAAAACGGCCCCAAGAGGCCGCCAAGACCCCCCAAAGAGCTCCAAGAGGGCTCCAAGACTGCCCCAAAAGACGCCCTGTTTGGCCCAACATGGCTCCAAGAGAGCCCTAGATGAGCAAATATGGCCTTCAAAATGGCCCAGGATAGCCAAACTCCGACAGACCTCCAACAAACCTCAAGACAGCCTCAAGATGGCCCAAGATAGCCGAGCATGGATCAAGATAGCCTCCGACAGCCAATAGCCGAGCATGGCTCAAGATAGCCTCCAAAACAAGGCTTCAAGAAAACTGGCAATCAATTCTGGATGGGCTGGTGGGGATACGCGAAGCGTCAAGAATTTTGACCGGCAGTAGCAGGAGGAAAACGAGGAGAAGGAAAGGTAGGACAACGTTTGTTGTTGCGCAGGGGGCAAGAGAAAGATGAGGAATAACACAGTTTGCACGCACGACATGGGGACGAACAACAAATCGGGTGCCTGCAATGCCCAACAACAGACGGCGCCCGAAACCGACAACGGCCGCTGTTTGGCAGGCGCCCCGTTTGTCTCACATGGCCAACGTCCGCGGCGACGCTGGCAGAGACTCATGTTCAAAATGAACGAGAACTGCTGTCGCCCCTTGTGACCACTACTTCCGTGCCGGTTCCGCTTAAACCGAAGACGGGGAGGAAAGGGCGAAGCGGTCTCGTGTCAGCCGGGGCCGCCTTGGAGCTGCACTTTCCCCACGTTGTCCCCAAGCACGAGGTCGCCCTCCATGGTCACGTCCACTGTGGAAGGCCTGCCCCGCTGCACCGACAAATGCACCCTCCACATACAGTTGAAACTATGCACGCACCATAGTGGGCCGGTGATTCTTCTTAACACACACGCACACACACAAACATGCACACACGCGCGCGCAATCCCGAACCCATCAAGTCACACACACACACATGTTTTGACGTCAAGGCCACGCGCGTGGCGGCGCGGCGTAGGTCAGGTCAGGCACGCCCATCAAGCAAATAAACATATACAACAACACGCACACGCACACGCACACGAACACGCACACGCACACACGCACACACACACACATATACACACGCACACACGCACGCACGCACGCACGCACGCACGCACGCACGCACGCACGCACGCACGCACGCACACACACACACACACATTCACGCACGCACGCACGCACGCACGCACGCACGCACGCAGGCACGCATGCAAACACAAACGCAAATGGTCCTCAAGCGCGGGCAGCGAAAGTGATAATTGCGATCGAATGATGCCGAGAGCGCAGCGAAACTGCAACATGCAAGCGCGGAGCGTGTTAGAGGAGCTGTAAGTCCAAACGAAACATGCAGCGCCCAGGCGACGAAGATAATACTCGACACAAAATGAGCTGAAGCACGACAGCCAGGGGATAATTGCAGCCACTGAATCACCAGAGCGGCGTTAGACAGTGAAGCGTGTTGAGGCCCAGTAAGACGACCGGCGCGCTGATCCCCCCCTCTCGCGACAGGAGGTGCGTCGCGCATTCGTCGCCCGTGCGCCGCCCGCGCGTCGGCCGCCGAAAAGGCCAGCCATCCTCTCGAACGTGCACGTCGCCCTCGCAAGAGGGCAATGCGGTGAGTGCGTCGCCAGCGCGGCGGACACCCGCGGGGCGGATCGCACGCGCATCGCCCTCTCCACGGCCGCTGAACAGGCCGGCCGCCCTCGGGAAAAAGAAAATCGCCCACGCTGCGGCCCCCTTGGCCAAAAGAAGGCGGCCGCTGGGCTACCTCGGCAGATCAGCAAATCCCTCTAAAAATACAAATGCAGCGACGCTGCTGAACGCGCCCCGGCGCTAGGCCCGCAGGTCCCCGCAGCCGCCGCCACAGCCGCCGCAACCGCCGCCAGCGCCAAAACTACCACCGCCACGATTACCAAAAACGGGCGCGACCGCAACCACATCCACCGCGACGATTACGACCGACACCATTTACCGCCATCACCACCACCACGACAACCACGCTTCTCGCGACCACCACAACGACCGACACCAGTGGTCACCAGCACGATCACCGACATGACCACCACCAGCCCGCCCGCCACCAGCGGCGCGACCGCCGCCAGCGCGGCCAAGGCGACGAAGGCGACCGCGACCATGATCACCAACATGACCATTACAGAAGCACCCGCCCACTCCGCCCCCCCCCCCTCTCCCCCCCATTCCCCTGCCGGGCCGCCCTTGCCGCCGCGCCCGCCTCGCGCCCCTGCACCCCGCCCCGCGCCCCGCCTCCTTCTGCCCCCCCCCCCCCCTCCTTTAATCCTCTTAACCTTCCTCTTCCACCGCCAGCGGCGGGGCCGTCCGCGGAAGGCGGGGGCGCCGCTCGCGGCGACGCGTCGCGGCCGTGGAACGGGGGCCGATGGGGAAAAAGAAAACGAAGAGGGGCACGGGGTGGCAAGGGAAAAAGAAAACAAAGACGAGAGAGGAGGTTGGAGGGGCAGACAGAGGGGGGCCGGTAGGAAGGAGGAGGAGAACGGGGGGAGAGAGGGAGACGAGGCAGGAGGGGGGACGAAAGAGGAGGAATGACGAAAGAGGAGGGACGACGAGGAAGGAAACGGGAAAGAACAATGGCAAGCACCGCCCCTCGTGGCGCAATGGAGGACGCAGCCGCCGCCACTCGTGAACAGCGCAAGCACGGCGGGCCGACGGCCGTTGCGCATTGCTGTTCGGAAAATGCGAGGGGCGGGCAAAGTCGCGACTGCGTCGCGCATGCGTCGCGCGCGCGTCGCGCGTGCGTCGCGGGTGCGTCGCGCGTGCTTCGCGCGCGTCGCGCGCGCGTCGCGCGTGCGTCGCGCGGGTCGATCGTGCGTCGCGCGCTTGCGGGGGTGCGTCGCGCGCGGGTCGGGGTGCGTCGCGCGCACGTCGCGCGCGCGTCGCGCGCGCGTCGCGCGGGCGCCGCTCGGGCCGTTCGCACGTCGCGCGCAGGTCGCGCGCGAATCGCTCGAAGGGCGCCGTGGACTTCTGACGGCGCGTGAACTGCGCGGCCCGCTGGCGAAACAATCCAGGGACGCGCGCGGCAATCGTAGAGATAGCGAGACACGCGCGCGAGAACTACGAACGCGAGGAGACCAAAAGATGACGCGGAGATGCAGCGCGCACGGACTAATCCATTTCAAGCGCGCGCCCCGTCAGAATGTGAACATCGGTTCGTCGCTGCAGCAATGCGGCGACGCCTCGCCCGCCGAGGCGAGGAAAGGGCGGGCGGAAAAGGAAACGGACGGGCGAGGAGGGGGCGCGCGGGGGCGGCGCAGCGGCGGCGGGAGCGATGGAAAGCGATCGAAAGGGGGGCGGCGGGAGCGAGGAGGGCGAGAAGAAGTTCCAGGGGGGTGGATGGTCAACGGGGGGTGAGTAGGGAGGCGGACAGGACGGCAGCCTGACACAGAAAAACTGAATACAAATTTCGCAAACGGGGCAAAACGCGCAGCGCGTTGGACGAGGGGAAAAGGAAGGAAGAGGGGGGGGGGGCAGCAGGATTAGCGAGAAACGACATGGGCGTGCGGGGCGCGATGCGACGGGGCGAAGTGGCGCCGCGTCGCGCGACGTGACGCCACCCCCACCGTGGCGCGACGCGCGCAGCCCCCAATCAACGCGAGGCGCCTTCGTCCTCGGCAACGGTTGGCGCCCCCGAAAATGCGCACCAGCAAATCCTCTTGCGCCGAATTGGAAACAAAACGCGTTGGTGGACCGTCGAACTAAGAGTGCGCCGCGACCGCCAAAATGGCTGCTGGCGCACCGTCGTCGGAAACCTATTGTCGCCAGAGAAATTCCGGAGTCGCGCCATATGTCGCCCACGCACTCTGGGAGGCCGGGATTCGGGACAGAGACGCAAACCAGGGCCGGCGCTCGGGCGACGCTCGGGCGACGCACTGAACGAAACTTAAGGGGGGGGGGCGCTTGACTGGGCCTTAACAGTGAGGCGCAAGGAAATCAATGCTGCTAGGAAGATTGGCGCGGCCGACCCAGCGATCTTGCGAGGCATATTGACAAGGTGTTGACGCCCAGACCAGCAACGCAAAGAGACCGACATGATGCGGGAACTAGGGCCAACGACGCGCGGCAACGCGAGCCACAGCGCACCAGAAAGGAAGCTGCGTCATCGGACGCGCCCAAATGCATCCAGTACATCAAGCACCGGAACTAGAGTGCATGAGTACCATACCTTGCACGCACAACCTGCCAGCAAACAGTGCAAGTGTCACATCTCGAAACCTGTAAGGACGGACAGAGATGAGCAAGGTCAATTCCCCTAGGCACCGACCCTCTTGCCCAGGCCCCTGCGGCGGGGGTACTAAATGGCCCCGCCGTCGCCGCTCCACGGCAGCCTCTCGGCTCGGCGGGGGGGTCTGGGGGCGGCGGCGCCGCCGCGCGGGGCGCCGCGCGAAACGCGCGACGCCGCGGGAGGCCGGAGGCAACAAAGTCAAGAGAAGGCGCCGAACGCGCCCGGCAACCGCGCGGGACACCGCAAGCCCCGCCCCCCCCCCCCACACACACGCACACACACACACACGCACACACACACACACACACACGCACGCACGCACGCACGCACGCACGCACGCACGCGCACGCACACGCACACGCACACGCGCACGCACACGCACGCGCACACGCACACACACACACAAACAAACAAGCACACACACACACACACAAACACGCACACACGCACACGCACACACACACACACACACACACACACACACACACACACACACACACACACACACACACACACACTTGCCGCTCGCAGTGGCGCGGCGATTCGCCAGTGCGCCGGGCGCCTCTCGCGGCGCGCGCAGCGCCGGAAAGAAAAAGAAAGGGGGGCGGCCGGCCCCTCACGGGGCAGCGGCCGCGGGAGCGGAGCGGCTGCGAAGGCGGGGGGCGGGGGGGGGGGGGCGGGGGGGGGGCGCGGCGCGACGCCCCCCCCGCCGCGCGGCCGCGGCGCCACAACCGCGCCCGCGCGCGCGGCGGCGACGAGCGACAAGCGACGAGCGACGACGACGACGACGACGACGACGACGACGACGACGACGACGACGACGCGAGCAGCACGTAGGTGGCGACCTGCCCACAGCGCCTGCGTACACCACTATGCTCGCGTGCACCACAACGCGAATGTACAGCACAGTGCCTGCGTACACCGCAACAGCTGTTTGCGACGTTGCGCCCGCGTACACCGCAGTGCTCGCGCGCACCACAGCGCCGGTGCACACCACAGAGCTTTTTGCCTGGATATTGACTATGCCTGCATGATATTCCGATGTAGTCTCAATGACCCCTAGAGGTACCTTCCGCGAGGGAAGCATAGGGGGCTCCGCCGAGGCCATGGCAAGGAGTGTTCCTTTAAGCGGATAAGAAAGATATGCGTGGTAGGGAGGAGGCTGGCCGGCCGACGACACGACGACGACGAGGGGGCGACCCCTCGCGCGCGCGCAAGCCAGCTCGCCCCAGCATCCTATACCTCTCGAACCTGAGTGGCTGCAGGCGGACAGTCAGTACGACAGCAATGATGGCAAGGTCAACAGGATGGAGGTGCGGAGAGGAGCGCAATAACTCCCCCCGCGGCGGGGTGAGTGGGGCCACGACGACCTACACCCACTCGGCCTGTACACATTTACGCCCACGGGAGACACCCCCCAAAAACAAACTCGCACGGCTCGACCGCGGTTGCCGAGGAGCGCCGGGCCGGAGCAACCCAACGTACCCCACCCGAGCTATATCTAAAGCCAGCTCATTCCTTG